CGTCTGAGAAGGTGATTGGAGACTTTTTGTGTAGGCTTGAAGGGTCCAATTACCTTCTGAGAAGGCAGTAGATCCATAGGGCAAATAACCAGCGTCCGTTTGACCGTCCATCTCAACCCACAGGTGTGGACAGCCTGTACTTTTTCTTCTCATGCTCCCAAGTGCAAGGGACCAAATGGAAGGAGGCGGACATCATGCACGGGAAGGTTGCAGACTGTTGCAGAGATTTTTTGAACATCATCCATATATAGGTTTCGAGGAGCAGGCACGTTTGCCAAAGCAGACATATGTAGGGGCTATGTTGGTGGGAATAGCTGTCCTGGTTGTCCCAAAGCTCATCAATTCGCTTCGCTTCTCCACATACGTGTTCTTCCTTCAGTGGACCCGACCAGTGCTTCCCCCCAAACCTGTTGGCTCCTTTAAAAGGATAGAGTACGACAAAGTCGGTTGAGGTGCTGGTCAGCCCTCCTAAGTCTTTGAGATCTAAGTTAACAGACTTCACAGGTAACGGTCCTTCTTCGACTGAACAGGAGCCCAAGGATGTGATTTTGTTGCTAGTAGCTACTTGCTCCTAGTAGTGCGGCTAGGAGCCCCTAGTAACGTTCTTGCTCCTAGTAGCGATGCCAGGAGCCCCTAGTAGCTACTTGCTCCTAGTAGTACGGCTAGGAGCCCCTAGTAGCGTTCTTGCTCCTAGTAGCGATGCCAGGAGCCCCTAGTAGCTTCTTGTTACTAGTAGTACGGCCAGGAGCCCAAGGATGATACTCTGGAAGATGGAGAAGTCAGATACGGCGACCACGGCAACTGCACGTGCCTTGGTGGGTTCGTGCACACGAAGGAGGGGAAGAAGTGGATGTGGGGCAGTCTTTGTCTTGGGTTCGACTGCTGTGATCCATCAGCTCAGTCGTCAAAGAAGATACATATTTGGCATATGTGTGATTGGCTAAGCAATCATGGATTCCATCACGCGCCACTGTAGTACTTTGCAGAAGACTGGACAAAACAGATGGAACTTGCAATATACTGTGATGATCTGTGATGGAGGGCGAGCCAGTTAAGCAAGAAGGAACGTTTCACTTTGTCGAGATCCACCTCAAAGCATCGACTACAGTTGAGGTGCAGACCAAGTGCAGATAGAATCGCTGATGTTAGTGCAAAGTTATTCCTCTTTCTCAAACGGAGCTGCTCACCTCAGACCTCAACTTTGAATGTCTTCCTAATCTTCCTACAACAGGCCAGGTGGATTCAGCTTTAGTAGGTTTGAGGCCATCGCCTACAACAGGCCAGGTGCATTCAGCCGTATTGGGTCAAAGCCGATGTCAGTCACAACGATGTTCCAGCCCTGTTCCATCAGGTTGACACATCGGAGGCTTGGTTTGGCAGGCCATGGCGGTCTGGGCATGGCGGTGGGGTTTTAACGTCTAAGTCTAAGAAGCAAACAATGTAATTATATATATAACTATACATTTATCCATGATTATAAATATTTCTTTTTTACCAGTATCTACCTGCCTTAGAGAGTTACTACTTATGGATCTCCATTCCACTCCTCTTGGAAGGTCCAGGTATATACAATACGTCGTGATCTTGAATCCAGGGGAGAGGGATGGAAGTTCATCGGGTGGTGTTTTGGTTCTTTGTGCAGTCGAGTCAAATTTCTCCAGGATTGAACTGGCCTCCAAACTAAGAGCCATGCCCTCCAACCTAATAGCTGGGTACCCACCAAAAGGCGCCAAAAGGGAAGTTGTTAGAGGCAGAATATGTGACTTGACACTTGACATTGGTCAGGAATCAATTGGAGCGCGTCCTTTCTCTGAAGGTTAATTGTTTTCTGAGGGCGCATCTTCCTTCTATAACCTGCTAGACTGTCACTAATGACTTCGTGCACGCCGATGAAGCTTCAAGCTTTTTCCATGCATGACATGACCTGACAGTGCCTAAAGCTAACTATGCAGCAGCTTTGAGTATTGTTTTTGGAGATTTTGGCAAGTGCCGTGTGAGATGGAATGTGCAATCATTGCATGTTGAACATGCAGTTCAGCTCAGACTCCAAGGATACACAACAAATGCCGGCCAGTGATGATGTGCTTGGATGTAGAGTTTGCCACTTGGCCGGACTCAATGCTCCTCTCGCCAGCGGACCAATGGTGTTCGACGCTGCATTCCGCTCTAGCACCCTAGGTGCTAAGTCCAAACCTGAGAAAAAGTCGCAGGACAGGACTTGTTGACCCCCCCACATGAACAGAAAAGACTGGGACCGACATGGTGAACCGTCCATGGTTTGGTTTCGGCCGTAAACGCCCTCGTGGCCAACTCGAGGTGCCCTTCGGAGCGGATGCCGCGGCGGGTGCCGCGGCGGGTGCCGCGCCTGCGGCGAAGCGAGCCAAGACGGAGGTGCCCGGGCTGAAGCTCATCAAGGAGCGCCCCGGACGGAACAGCGCAGCGACGGCGGAAGAGGTCGTCTTGAACCGGACCAAAGGCGTGAGGGCCAGCTGTGCATGGTGCGGTTGGGGGTTTACCGCCCAGGAGTCATGGTTATCAGATTGCTTGATGTTTCCATCTGGAACCGCGTCAGGAGCGCCCTGCCTGCCGAGTTTATACCTTGGAAGTGGCGCCCGGCTCGGGATCTTAGAGTTCTTTTTTTGAAAAAATGCCACGTCGGTATGTATGCCTTTAACTTTTGCATATCCTTTCATCCACCAAACCTGGCCAAAAGGAAGACATGTTGCCTGGATAGAATATATTCATTGATCTCCTTTTCAACCGTTTTCAACCACCCCAATGTATGTAAATGGCATACGTTGAAATGCTCCTGAGTTCACATGATTCGACCTCTCCTCGTGCGGACGGTCCGAGAGCTTGCCCCCGCCGTGTCAAAGATAAGAAAGCCTTGCAAGGGCCAACAGTCCTGCATATAGTTACCTCCAACCTATATAATAGCGATGGCCTCCCCCTAGGAGCGTCCTTGTTACTAGGTTTGCGACATATGACAAAGATTGGGTACATTCCATTCCAAAATTCTGGAGGTAAACCGTTCGCGGGTGTCCATGGCTAGTTCCATGGCTTCATGTCTCATCTCCCTTGATCAGCCGAGATCGCCAACGAAATCGGCACGTGATACCAAGAAGTTGTTATTTCACCAAACCGGGAGGTTGCACTAAGAGCTTCTTTGTCATTGTAGGTTCTAAAGGTCGCCGAGGATGTTTGGAACGAGATTGCTGTCTCATACAGAAGTTTGCACAGATTGCAGAGAAACTCAAAGAACACTGTGCTACAACTATATAACTGGCTGGTTGCAAGATTGAGGGTGCCTAGCAAATGCTGGACACCCTAGGCTGGGGGCCTTAGCCCAAAAACCCCTCTTTCTGCGCCGCAGGTGCCACCGCTTCCGTGGCCGTGCCTTTCGCTCGAACGCTGCTGGTGGTCCACAGGGGCGCCCGAGTGCAAGGTCTAGGCGGGTGGCGGAAGGGGGCTGAAACGGGCACCATGAAGGGAGGGATTTGTTGGAACACCTTCGGTTTGCGGTGTAGTGAACCCTGTAGACACTCGAGTCCGCAAAGAAAACCTCCGCGCACTTGCTCGGAGGCCTTTTAGTCGACCCTCTAAACCAATCCCAAACACGGTAGCCTCAGCAGGTTGGAACCCTAGGGTAACACAAGTGTCTCCAATCACCCTCTGAGAGGTGCCTGTGGCTCAGGTGCGGATTCTCAAGGGGCCCAGTCTTAACATCTTCGACATGTTCGCAGGGTTCCCACCTCAATGGGCCTGGACCGGTTACAGAGAGAGTTCCAGGAACGTATGGAATTCGATGTTGCCAAAGCGATGTTGCCACGCCTTCAGGGGAAACGACCTGCCCCAGTTGCCGCATGCCGCTTCGACCGGTCGACCCCATGACATACACCCGTCCGTCGACCGAACGCCGCCGCCGCGCCAGGCGTCGTGGGCTTGGTGAAGCCGGGCGACGTCTTCTTTCGCGAAGGGCCTGAGGAGTTGAAGCTGGACGTGTGGCTCGACGGGAGGGCAGCACTGCCTGCGGCGCATCTGGAAGGGTGGAGGGCCGCAGTGCGAATGAGAGGAAAATAGACCAACACGGTGGTGAAGGTTGAACTGAGTGGCAAAGCTGGGGAGATTGTCCTATTATTGATTCGGATTCATCTGTTGCAGTCTCCAGTGTGCGTGGGATGGCCCCATGACTTCTACATGAACGATCATTTCTTTCCTCTTTGGGAGCCAAGCTGGTTGTTTGCGCGTTGTAAGACCCCAGGGCTATGTCCTAGGAATCAAAACGACTATGTCCCAGTGGAGCGGCCTCTCTTCTAGAAGTCGTGCTGCTGGACTCTTTCGAACCGAAGCAAGCTGTTACACTCATCGCAACTCATTTGTCGCATTGTTGCTCAGCACAGTTAGAGCTTCAGTGAGATGAACAAAAAGGCGGACCCAAAGCCACATCCTCGGCTTGTTGACAAAAAACACACACACGATGACTTCCTCATGGGGCGGCCGATTCCAGGGTGAATACATCACTTCAGATATCATCAGATCAAAAGCCAGCAGATTGAAGGAACTCAGGATTCCATCACAGCAATGCACTTCCCAGAATTTGTTCCGTCCAATTATATATTTTGCAGGCAGCAGCTAATTCCAGCATGTTTGCATATCTTGTCTGAGTGCACTTCTTCCTCACTCATTTTTGTGCGTCCTTCGTGAGAAGCCAGGTTGGGCCGGCGGCGAGCATTGAGACTTTGGCTGGTAGAGCTTCTCTATTGAAACCCGAGAATTGCAGTCGAAAAGGAATGACCTTGGCTTGCGCAGAGATGGAAGAGCGCAGACAAAGATGCACATGAACTGTCTTAGAACGACATGTTGATCCAGAAACTGCACATCAAACATCAACGACATGTTGTTGTTATTCTTTTCGATGTGCGGTGTTGAGTCCTCCCTCAACTCTCGCTGAGATCCCCCATCCGCCCAACGAGCCATCCGCTGCAACGCATCGTGCCGAGGTCCATGTGCCTTCAGGTCAATGGATCAGCTTGAGCCATCCGAATGCAACGGCCTCAGCGGTCTTCCGAAAACACCCCGCCGTTGGTGTCGGTGTGGCGAAGGATCGGTCGGAACCGAACCCCCGACGACTGCGGTGACACGACTGCGGTGAACCCAACGCTGCGGTTCTTCCCGACGTAGAGGCGCGTTGAGTGTGCAACGAAGGAAGCCATGAAGGCAAGTGCTGTTCTTCCAGTCATTTTGCCAGGTTGGAGCCTCGGAGCTCATGATGTGAACAATTCTGAACAATTCGGAACACGTGTCCAGTGAAATCCATATATCACCATATTGTATCGGAATCAGATCCATTTGGGACCCACTTCCCCGTGCTTGGACCTACCCAGGCCAAGTTGATGCTGGGCTTGCTGGGAGGTCGCGCCGAGGCGAGTGGTTCGGTGCTTCGGCTTCGATTGGTTCAGGGTGCAGTTGTGGGATGTGAACGAAGGAAGAGAGTACGTAGTACGTAGTAGCGTCCTTGCTCCTACTTGTAGTAGCGATGCCAGGAGCCCCTAGTAGCGAACATTGCTCCTAGTAGTAAGGTCAGGAGCCCGTAATAGCTTCTTGTTCTTAGCATTCTAAATATAGTATTTCTCTTTATCGAAACTTGCCATGGTCACTTCCATCGCTATTTCGGGGGAGGCCATCGCCATTAGGTTGAACTTGCCATTGTTGTATATACGCCTTCATCCAGCTTTCAGTGCACAACAGTCTCGGTTGTGCCGCTGGTATCACGTACTCAGCAGTCAGCGGAGGGCAGTGGACCCACACCAGTGGGTACACACACGGGGCATTGGATCTGTGGAAGATGGTGTCAACTAGGGAAACTTCCCAGGCAACGACCCCCTGGGAAGAGCAAGCATAGGCTGAAACTAATGTCCGGCTTGCAACACTTCTGTCAGCCAGTTCATCTCTACGTCCATCGAACGTCGAACGGGAGGACCAGTGGGACATTTAGACGAATCACGATGAGAGGCCTGGTTGGACATGGACACCGAGAGAGAGTCCGAGAGGAGGCATGAACCAATGTGCAAGGTATAAGCAGGAGTTCATTTGTATGTGCTTAATTGGACAGGTTTCGCTCTTGTATATATGAGTCCTTCAAGTCCTTGAAGTTCAGCAGATCAATTGCAGCGCTCGTGTGTGGAGTCCTTCAGAATTCTCAAGAGCTCCAAGCAGCAAGGAGAATGCAAGCAGATATACCTGCCCTATAGGTATAGGTGTGGTGTTTCTCTCCTTCACCCCAAAGAGCGCTGCCCAGTGAGGCACTTCACAGCCGCCTGTGACACACAGATCGGCAAGGAAGACGGAGTGACCCACTGATCCGAAGGTGTTTTTTTCCGCTTACTACTAGCTTCTTGTTTCTAACAGCAAACATTGTTACTACTAGTAAGGCACCTGTTACTACTAGTAAGGCACCTGTTACTACTAGCGTGACACTTGTTACTAGAGTCCTCGAGTCGGACATACCTGGCATCCTCAGACGGGTACGGTATACGCTACTCCGAGTAAGCCCCTGTTTTCTTGTTTTGTCTTGTTTTGTGTTGTTTTAGAAGCATCTTTTTGGTTTGGGTCATGTCATCTTCTAGCATGACCAAGTACAGCTGTCTGAATCCATTGAATCAGCTGCGCGCGAAGGATGGAACCGCTGAACAGAACCGTCATTGGGTCGTGTCACGCCGTGTCAGCTGGTTTTATAAGTGCAACAGCGGTACTCAATAATCAGAAGAAGAAGTGCCAGCGTCCCTCAAACGTCCCAGAAAGGAATGTTCAAAACTTGAAAGGAAAGCCCTTTGTTCAAAGTACCTTTGCAAAGCACTTTCATTTCAATTCACGCTTGACATCACTAGGGCTTTTGCTTTTGAACCTCAGAGCACAGTTGTCATCGCAAGAAATCTCCAATGTCAAGTTATGTCCATCGTGTTTTCCAAGGAGCTATAGATCTGTCCGCGGACACGGAGCCCGATGGATGTTCAGCTCAAAAGCTATATATATATATATCATTTGAGTGGTGCCGTGCCGTGTGTGGGAACACCGGTCCGATCATATGTCCGAGACTGAGGGGTGAGACCGAGATTTGATGATTGCATGTTGACCCTCGTAGAAAAACACGGGTCGCACCAGTCAGTGATGCTGCTCTTTTTTTGCAGCGCGCCAAGCTATGCGCCATGTTGCAGATCTTTGTTCTTTAATGCGCTGGCGGAATTATGTGATGCACGCTTGAAAAACAAGCCAAATCTCCTTGGCACATTACTGGCTTTCCACCCACGTTGATTGGAAGACAGGAAGTTCCCCATTCCCATTAATCAGTGCTGACCCGATAAATATTCACGAGTCCTCTCAAACGTGGCTTTGAGGTTGACCCTCCATGTGTTGATCATTGTTGATCCCCTCAAAAGGCTGCACCTCATGAGTTGTTTCCGTGTTTGAGTTTGGCTTTCCTTTGGCTCACTTCAAAAGTGTTCAGGCCCTTTTCTAATTTGTGCCTGGAGAAAGAATAACCTACTCAGCCCTCTTCCTTGAGTTGCCTTGTTGGCATTCTACCATTCAATAATTAGTTGCAGACCCCACACACTTTACTCTGTTGTATGCTGAGAACAAGAACTGAGTATGCCAGACAAACACCATCTCAAATAGAAGTCTTCATCTTGGCTGTCTTCACTGTGCTCAAGCCCACAAGCCAGTGTGCCAACCGCTGCAGGTTGCAGGTTGCAAGACTCTTCCTTCCTACACGCCAGCATGCGACCAAGTACCAAGTACCATGCATGGCGAACTCGGCCACATCGGTGAGCCCTGCCACCGTGGCTTTTCGGGCCAGTCGCGTCCGCGCATGAGCCCTCTGGAACTCGGATCGAGTTGAGCCCTTCGAATCCTTCGAAGTCCGGGCCTCTTTGTGTCCTGCCCCTGCCAAAGTGGTCGGCGTACGAGAAGGACAGGTCGTTGGGATTCCGGTTTGAGGGGATGGAGGCCATCGGGGTAATTATGCCCTTTGCAAGACAAGACCAGAACACCCCCTTCTACAAAGCAAAGCGCGTCAAAAAACACAAGGGTGCTATACTGGTCACATGCGCGTTTTCTTCACAAAAACCAGCGAAAAAAACGCCACATCCTTCCTTTTTTCCGCGACGATCCGGCACCACTCGTGTCCGATTCCTAGCGGCCCGCGGAGAACGCGACGCGGCCGAATTCGAGGATCCTGCACCGATGTCGATGTGCCCGTCCTGCATTTTCCGCGATGCAAAGGATCCGGGTGGTTCATTGTGCAGTTGCAGTTTTTCGACGGCGGTCGATGATGTCGATGGTGCCCGTCCTCTTCTCTGGGCGGTCGACCAAAGAACATCTTGGACATGACCAAGTGATACCAAGTGGCTATTTGTACACAGATCCTTTAGCTGATGTAGGCTGCCATGATCCCCACGACTTCTAGTATCCCCCCAAGTCCATTCTATTATACTTTTCCACAACGACAAAGATGACAAAAGCAAATTACCAAGAGTGCCTACCAAGCAGAATCTTGGGGGTCCATTCCGACTGGTCTGGCGTTTAAGGCTGTGGTTCCTCCTCCTCCCCTGTACGTGTTCCAGGGTGCTTTCAATCTTCGCACCAGTGAAGTGGTGAGTCCAGCCAGAAAGAAGGGTGGTACGCAGGTTCCTTCCTTGTGAAGTTGTAAGTCGAGCAACTTGGGGTTTCAGGCTCAGGCGGCTTCGCACTACTGTTCACACCGGAATCATATGCCACCTGATAAGTGGCCACCACTGCAAATCCGTTTCAGTCTGAAAAAGCCAAGATCTCCGGCCCAGCGCCGGAGAGTCGGTGTTTGTAGCTGTTTTCCTTACGACATGTGTGACAGAGAATCTTTCGTCATCCAATCCCTGTCATCCAATCCGATTTGGGCGGTAGGAGGCTGCGGACGGGCCGACCAGACGGGTTGAATCGACGGTTTCATGGTACCGTTCTTAGAGAAGACCTTGCCCAGAGAAGACCCTGCTGTGTGGCAGTGGCACTGAGAAAAGTGCTGTCACACACCAGTCATCTTCCAACTCTAGAGGCTTGTGAGGAGCGCAGCGTGCATCATCACCACTCAGAGAAGTGCTTTGGTGCGACATGACCTAGTGGATGGTGCGACAACCAGAGACCATGAGATGTCCTGTCATACCGAGCAGTGTCCTCTCATGGTACCATGTTTGGTTTGATCAGGGGATGTCAATTCTGGACGGGCCATGTGGCCATGACGAAGTGTTTGGGACAGTGGGAATGTGACCGTAAGGGGGAATGCAGCAGCATGTACCAGTATTCCAACTACCAGAAGTAGCGACCCTGCAGTGTTTGTTCTCATCTTCATTTCAGCCACTGCAGTCTTTGATGTTTGTTTGTCGCACATGATCAAGCAATATCCCAAGAGGAACCTGTCAAATTGGTCCGATGGGTTCGGGTGACAACATATCAAACCCTTGTTCCTAGTAGCTTCTTGTTCGGGTCACTAGATCCAGATGAACGTGTAGACCATCCTGTTCAAGCTATTGGGTTGCAGGCCATCGCTCTTCAAAGCATCGCTCGCTCAGGGTGTGGTCTTTTTCCCGTTTTTTGCCGCTCACCGACTCCGCCTTCGGCTTCGGCCGTGCCCTGAAGGACGGCGTTGACGTCCAGTTCCGTTTGAAAGAACTCACCAACCGTTTGTTGACTTCCCCCAACCGTTCATCAATCACGCCACACTGCACATTGGAATCGTTGGAAAAAGGAACTGGGCCCCTGGGGTTGCTCTGTAAGAATCGTCATAGTATGCTCGAGCCTTGTTACTAGTAGCTTCTTGTTACTAGTAGTAATGCACTTGTTACGTAATGCACTTCTTACTGGTTAGTATGAACGTTTTGTATCATCCGGTTGAGCCAACCCTTGTTCGAATGCCTAAGGTGCTTGGGCGAACTGATCTCCTATGCATGGTGTCGAGGGTTTTTTCCTTCTCCGTTTTGCGAAGCCAAAAGGCCCTCGTTTGGGAAGACGAGCATCATGGTGTCGAGCTTCATGATGCCGACCGGTCTCTAAAGGACTTGTAGGCTAAAGGACTGGCCGTTTTGAGGACTTTTTGGTCGGAAAGGGCAGCAGGTCACACTGTTGTGGAGGAGAAGACACGTGGCCGCCCACTATCCTAGAAAGCTAGGTCCGGCTATAGGCTTCGGTGGCAGATCTGAGCACCGGTACCTAGATCAATTCTGGGTTTTTGTACTGAACTGATTTGCCCTTCTCAAGAAAACAATGTCGGGATGTTCTTTCAGACACGAATCAATCTCACTGTGGCGGTTGACTCGGGATTTTCTTGCGGTTTTCTCGAGGTTCTTTCTGATTCGGTCGGTGTGAAAAGCCCTGGATTTGGGACAGCGAAGCTGAAGCAGAGAGCAGTGAGGCTCACTGAGGTTTGCGAGTCCTCCACTCGGAGTGTGATGGGATTGCCATCACCTCCGTGAATTCAACGAAAAAAGATCACTCGAAGCCCATCTCTCTCTCAAAATGAAATGCTTGCTATTGCTTGCTTCCGGGGTGGTGAGATGTTGGATTTTTGCATCCCACATATATGTGTTTTCATGAACGAGTTGGTCTGGATCAAACAGCTTTGAAGGATAGGATTGAAGTTGGTCTGCATATGTGGGATAGGAATTCCTCGTGTCGGTCCTGCTGTGAACAAGGTTCCTTTTGCATCTTTGAACCAGTTTGCTGCTGAAAGTCTCCAAGTTTAAATCGGGAGCACAACAGTGCAGCAAGGTCTTCTAATAGCTGTTACTAGTACTGTAGCTTCTTGTTCCTAGTAGTAATGCCCGGAGCTACTAGTAGCGTTCTTGCTGTCTTTTTCCTTGTGTCTTTCAATGTCGGAGTGCTTCGAGTCGTATCCTCCTGACTCTTGGCCCCCCCAAAGGTTTTGTTTGAGGCAACCTCCGTACAAACCACGGGCGAGCCAAGAGTTCG